GTAGGAGCACTCAGGGCTGTAACTCCTAAGCTGGGAGTGTCTCCAACAGACGCCAGGAACAACATCAGAGCTCTCTGTCCAGAAGAGTGCAGGGCTAGGAACAGCTAAGATACTGTGCAGAACCCTCACACTCCCTAGAGGACCCGAGATTGAGAAAAACACATACCACCCATAGGGGCGAGAGGAGATATGTATGTATGTATGTATATTCTTTTGCAGGGCAAATAGGGTTTACCTAAACAATGAAATACCAATTCCCCTTATAGCAGATTATGTCCAGTTTCAAATGAGATCAGGGCTGCACCCATAATTTTTAGAAAGGAATAATTATATGAATAGTCTAAAGTGAATGGTCTGCATTCAGATGGAATACTGACTGACAATGTTTGATGTTATTGTTCAGAGTCTGAAATAAGTTTTATTGATATGAAATGTCAATATCAAAGGTGTCAGACAACCCACCAGATGAATATGATAGTCCACCAGGATTATATAACTGTTTTTACCCTAAGAAAGACCTTTTTCTTATCAGTTTAGAACTGGCAGAAAATCAACAGCAACTGAGGACAACAAAGTGGCATTAATCAACTAATCTTCATGAAAATAGGCCTGACAATTTGAATAAGGGAAACAAGCCAATGGTTTGTTCATCAAGCCAACTTTTGAGGAACTCTTTGGAGTTTAAGCCACCACACTGGAAATGCCAGTGTATAAAACTGACCTAGCACTTGATGTCAAGCCACTGACATCACCACCAAACTATCTGGCAGCTACAACAGTGCTGGAGTTAATAACTTTTTTTCAGGACTGAGCATTTTTGGTTCTCCCATTTTATAACTAATCCATCCCTGGGTGATCCCCTTCTTCCCAAGAATAAGTACAGACAGAGTGTAATTAACTGCTCAGTCTAACTACTCCTTCTCCTGTTACTTACGAGAGAGAGTAGTAGTTATTTTCCTGTGAGGTAGGGTCTGAAGAGGGCCATTCTTGTTCAGGAGGAAAAAATGTCCATTGGCTCACCCCACCCACCCAGCACTTTGCACTTCATGTTTTCCTACACCAAGGGCGAGTAAAGTATTCGGGAATATAATCAAAAGCCTTGATTGTGTACGTCATCGAAACCGGTGTAGAATTTAACAAGGAACATATGTAGCTTTTGCTCAATGCCTTAAACCCTGGAAGAGAAGCTTTAGAAGTTTGTTTAGCACGAAATGGGGCATGGCAGCCTTCGCTCCCTTCCCTTCCTCTGCCCAGGCGAGACGCGTTCGCCGTCGGTCTTTCCGCGCCAGGCGGCAGTGCCTAGCGAAGGGGACGGGAGGTATTTCCCTTCCGCGCGAGACTCTTCAAAGTGATAGGAGCCCATCGAGCCCTCGGTTTACATCTCTCATCATGCCTTGCTTACCCTGCCATCTCCCTAAAAACAACTCCGCCGCTTGCTGGCCTCGCCTCGGGACTAGTAGGCGTAGACGCCTGCGTTCTCTCGGAGCGAGCCGAGGAGGAGAAGGACGAGGCGGTTAACCGCGGTAGCCCAGCGGCTTCTGAGTTGTCTGGACTGTTGTTCTCCAAGCGACCCGGCTTCTAACAGATCTTAACGAGCGGAATGGGATGGACGCTGCCTGTCTACTTCTCTAAGGAGGCAATGAAACGGCTCCGCGCTTTCCTCGCAGCTCCAAGTCTCTCGAAATCGGGACCGCGTGCGATTCATTGCACGTGCGCTGGCACATGCGGGGGCAGCGGCGGAGGGGGGTCAGTCCGCCTGAATTCAAGCGCGCAGAATAACCCGCCCCCCTACCCGCAGCTTAGCGGGGCTGCACCAGTCACAGCTAGGCAAACGGGGGCCCAAAGGCCCCCTGTCACTGCTGAGTGTTCGCCAGCTCTCTAGAAGAGGCTGGAGTGAGCTCGTCGGAGAGGCCCCTCGCGCTTTTTTGCCGCTGAGAGAGCCTCCGTCACCTCAGACCCCGGGAATGAGTAGGCGAGGCGAGCGCCAGTCCGCAGCCTCGCAGCAGCGGACGGTGCTGCACTGCCGGAACTCGGCGGAGCGGCAACGCGCGCGGAGCTCCAGCGAGGGCACGCTGGGCAGCGGCCGCCCAAGCCAAAAGAACAGGGATCGCGCCCGCGTACACGTCCCTCTCGCCCCGACGCTTCCAGCAGCAGCGGGATCCTCTCCTCTTCGTCTAGCTTCTCCGGAAGCGCCGGAGCCATCTGTTCCGACTCCCCAAGCGCATCCTCAGTCATCCTCCCATCTTAGCTCGGGAGACACTCACCGCAGTCCCAGCCATTCCTTCGTGTGACATCTGGACGATAGAGGCCACCCCACAAGCAGGAGAACATCTCCAGTGCCTCCCCAGTTATTTCTGAAAAAGTACTCTCTCGTCCAAAAGAGACGCTGTCCTTTCACGACCCAACTGAGCCTGGCTTTTGAGTGGACACCGTCGCGTCTGCTCCTTCAGCCATTCCCTTGCAACGACCACCCTCTCAGGTTTCCTCACTCGCGCTTTCTAACAGAGACTCCACACGTAGCTCCACCGTCGCTCTCTCAACCAATCCCCCCAATTCATTCTTGGCGATTTCACTCTCACACATACACAGTACTGTGGCTTCAATCCCTTCAAAGAACAGATGGGGAACTTAAGACACAATACTGACACCCCAATACTTCTCAGTCATCCCCAGTATCAATTCTAGTTTCTTTAAGCCCCCCCCCCATCTTGTACGAGTTGTATCCATATCGTCGGGAAGCGAGAACAGCCACTGTACCCCACTTCTCAGCAGCATCAATGCTGGTAGTGGCTCTGTCCCCACGCAATACTCCCCCTCCGTGACCGAAATAACCGCAGCTGTCACTGAAACTCCTGTTCTCCCCAGCTTCTGTCTACCCTGCTACTGTACCCCACCCGAAACAGCCCCCGCAACAGATGCCACCCCAGCCCACAAGCACCGTCTCGCCATCAACGCCATGTCGAGAGACCCAGAGAGAAACCAAGCCAAAGTGCCCCCTTTCTCCAGGCTTTTGACTCCAACAGCCCAAGGTGGACCCCTCTGTCCCCCAAGAACTGCTATTATAGACCTCGCACGGAACAACCCCGCCAAGGCAAATCCCAACAGCAGCACCAGCAATTGCAGAGCTCCCCTCGTAGTGCCCTCAGGACTTAATCCCAGCAGCAGCTGGAATCCTACCAGTTCTTTCCATCTCCTTCTCGACCTCGGACCCCCCCCCCCCCCCGCGCATGAGAGAGTTTGCAGCGCTAATTCACCGCTGGCCACGGATCTTCGCTCGCTGTTGCTCGTTTTAAATCTTCGGCAAAAGATATCCTGGAGGTGGGGGGTATGCTCAGCTGCCCCCTCCTGCCTCCCAACCACCACCGCCGCCGCCGCCACCACACAAGGGTCTTGGGCTATCTGATCATTGGCTGCCCGCTTACCTTTTTCAGCGCGGACATTCTAGTGCATTATTCATTTAGCATATAGTGGGTTGCATGCTGCGTTCACGAGTCAGGTGAAGGAGAAGCCGGGGCAGGAGGAGATAATAGTGGTAATAACAGTGGTGGTGGTGAAGGTGAAGAAGAAGAAGAAGAAGAAGAAGAAGAAGAAGAAGAAG